GCAGGTGGGGCTCGGCACGGCCGCCTGCGGAGGGGACACGGCTTTGGCTCGCTGGTGGCTGGTGGCGTCCCCTTTGAAGGCAAGGCTTAGTCGAGCAGGATTGCACATTGGGGGGGGGGGCACAAATGGGGAAGGAGAAAAAGCCCCAACGCCAGCCAGCTCTCTTCCTGGGATCGGTCCCGGGGGAAATGGGTGGCGGACTCCAGGTTTCCCGTGGGCACTGTTGGGGTGAGGGGCTGGGCTCCCAGCGAGGGAAGGAAGGAAGGCAAAGGGGCAGGGAGGGGAATTGAGGTTGTGCTCCCACCGGAAGGAAGGAGGGAAGGAAGGAGAGGAGAAAAGAAGAAGGAAGGAAGGAAGGAAAGAAGGAAGGAAGGAAAGAAGGAAGGAAGGAAGGGAAGAAGGAAGGAAGGAAGGAAGGAAGGAAGGAAGGAAGGAAGGAAGGAAGGAAGGAAGGAAGGAAGGAAGGAAGGAAGAAGGAAGGAAGGAAGGAAGGAAGGAAGGAAGGAAGGAAGGAAGGAAGAAGGAAGGAAGAAGGAAGGAGGAAGGAGAGGAAGGAAGGCAAGCGACAGGAAGGGGAATTCAGAATTCAGCCTGTGCTCCCAGCAGAAGGAAGGAAGGAAGGAAGGAAGGAAGGAAGGAAGGAAGGAAGGAAGGAAGGAGGGGAGAGGAAGGAAGGCAAGCAACAGGAAGGGGAATTCAGAATTCAGCCTGTGCTCCCAGCAGAAGGAAGGAAGGAAGGAAGGAAGGAAGGAAGGAAGGAAGGAAGGAAGGAAGGAAGGAAGGAAGGAGGGGAGAGGAAGGAAGGCAATCGACAGGAAGGGGACTTGAGTTTGTGCTCCCACTGGAAGGAAGGATAGAAGGAAGGAGAGGAGAGGAGAGGAGGGAAGGCAAGCGACAGGAAGGAGACTTCAGCCTGTGCTCCCAGGAGAAGGAAGGAAGGAAGGAAGGAAGGAAGGAAGGAAGGAAGGAAGGAAGGAAGGAAGGAAGGAAGGAAGGAAGGAAGGAAGGAGAGGAGTGGAAGGAAGGCAAGCAACAGGAACGTGACTTAGAATCCTAGAATCCAAGAGTTGGAAGAGACCTCATGGGCCATCCAGTCCCACCCCATTCTGCCAAGAAGCAGGAATATTGCATTCAAAGCACCCCCGACAGATGGCCATCCAGCCTCTGTTTCAAAGCTTCCAAAGAAGGAGCCTCCACCACACTCTACAAGGGGCAGAGAGTTCCACTGCTGAACAGCTCTCACAGTCAGGAAGTTCTTCCTCATGTTCAGGTGGAATCTCCTCTCTTGTAGTTTGAAGCCATTCCTCCCTTGCGTCCTAGTCTCCAAGGAAGCAGAAAACAAGCTTGCTCCCTCCTCCTCCTCCCTGTGGCTTCCTCTCACATGTTTATACATGGCTCTCATCATGTCTCCTCTCAGCCTTCTCTTCTTCAGGCTAAACATGCCCAGCTCCTTAAGCCGCTCCTCATAGGGCTTGTTCTCCAGACCCTTGATCATTTTAGTCGCCCTCCTCTGGACACATTCCAGCTTAGAGTCAATATCTCTCTTGAATGGTGGTGCCCAGAATTGGACACAATATTCAAAGCGGAATAGAGCATGGGGAGCATGACTTCCCTAGATCTAGACACTAGGCTCCTCTTGATGCAGGCCAAAATCCCATTGGCTTTTTTTTGCCGCCACATCACATTCCTGGCTCATGTTCCCCTTCCTCCCCACGAGGACTCCAAGATCTTTTCCACACGTCCTTCTCTCGAGCCAGGCCTCATTTTCCCCCATTCTGTCTCTTTGCATTTCGGTTTTCCTGCCAAAGTGGAGTCTCTTGCCTTTGTCCCTGTTGAACTTCATTGTGTGAGTTTTGGCCCTTCATCTCTCTAATCTGTCCAGATCCCTTTGAGTCCTGCTCCTGTCCTCTGGAGTCTTGGCTCTCCCTCCCAATTGGGTGTTGTCTGCAAACTTGGTGATCATGCCTTCTAGCCCTTCATCGAAGTCACAAACGTGAAGGAGGGAAGGAAGGAGAGGAAAGGAGAGGAAGGAAGGCAAGCAACAGGAAGGGGCAGGCAGGCAAGCGGGTGAGCAGGAAGGGGACTTGAGTCTGTGCTTCCAGCAGAAAAAAGGGAGGAAGGAAGGAAGGAAGGAAAGAAGAGGACAGGAAAGGTAGGCAAGTAGGCAGGAAGGGGTCTTGAGCCTTTGCTCCCAGTTTTGTTGTGTCCGCTTCATTGACTGACTTGACTGTTCTGTACAGACGTGGCCAGTCCATGTTGTGCATTGCCAGTCCGTGCAAATCGGTTGCATCCAGGTGGTTCCCTTTCCAAACAAACCCAGTTCCATTCACGTGTCATTCCCCAACGAAGATCCCCCTGAACCACAGCAGGGACCCTCACTTGATCCGCTTGCTGCCTTGAGCACCAAGCCTGCCTTTGGTTGTCCAGCAGATTTCCCAAGGACGTGCGACATTTTGCAAAGCCTGCACAAAATACCGTGTGTCGAAGTGCCTCAGCTGGAATGGGATGAGATGTGAAAACCGACAGCGCTCTTACGCAAGAGTTCAGATCTTCCTGTCGGGTACCCAAGGTTATCATAAATTACACTTTGCGTTCAGCAAGCGTTTCACAGCCGGCATTTCCCTGTTACAAAGGCCTTTAGCGGAGATTCCTGCCAGGGGCTGGTGTAAGGAAGACTATGAACCCAGAGGTGAGAAGTGGGGCTGGCTGGTGGAGATCCACGGCCCCACTTTGGGGCTCAGTGAAGAGCTACGGCCTTCAATGTCCTGATCTGCAACTTTGTGGCAAATAAATTAGCTCACGAAGAGAGTGGAAAGGCTTTCTTTCTCAAAGCATACAATGCGGTTATAAATAAAGTTCCAACTGACAGTTTCTTTCCTGTGCACCTCCTATCCCTCATCCTGGCCCTCCCCTTCCTTGCTCTCTCTTGCAACTGTGCAACTGGCAAATAAATTAGCTCACAAAGAGAGAGGAAAGGCTTTCTTTCTCAGAGCATACAGTGCGGTTATAAATAAAGTTCCAACTGACAGTTTCTTTCCTGTGCACCTCCTATCCCTCATCCTGGCCCTCCCCTTCCTTGCTCTCTCTTGCAAGTGTGCAACTGGAAAATAAATTAGCTCACAAAGAGAGAGGAAAGGCTTTCTTTCTCAAAGCATACAGTGCGGTTATAAAGAAAGTTCCAACTGACAGTTTCTTTCCTGTGCACCTCCTATCCCTCATCCTGGCCCTCCCCTTCCTTGCTCTCTCTTGCAACTGTGCAACTGGCAAATAAATTAGCTCACAAAGAGAGAGGAAAGGCTTTCTTTCTCAAAGCATACAGTGCGGTTATAAAGATAGTTCCAACTGACAGTTTCTTTCCTGTGCACCTCCTATCCCTCATCCTGGCCCTCCCCTTCCTTGCTCTCTCTTGCAACTGTGCAACTGGCAAATAAATTAGCTCACAAAGAGAGAGGAAAGGCTTTCTTTCTCAAAGCATACAGTGCGGTTATAAAGAAAGTTCCAACTGACAGTTTCTTTCCTGTGCACCTCCTATCCCTCATCCTGGCCCTCCCCTTCCTTGCTCTCTCTTGCAACTGTGCAACTGGCAAATAAATTAGCTCACAAAGAGAGAGGAAAGGCTTTCTTTCTCAGAGCATACAGTGCGGTTATAAATAAAGTTCCAACTGACAGTTTCTTTCCTGTGCACCTCCTATCCCTCATCCTGGCCCTCCCCTTCCTTGCTCTCTCTTGCAACTGTGCAACTGGCAAATAAATTAGCTCACAAAGAGAGAGGAAAGGCTTTCTTTCTCAAAGCATACAGTGCGGTTATAAAGAAAGTTCCAACTGACAGTTTCTTTCCTGTGCACCTCCTATCCCTCATCCTGGCCCTCCCCTTCCTTGCTCTCTCTTGCAACTGTGCAACTGGCAAATAAATTAGCTCACAAAGAGAGAGGAAAGGCTTTCTTTCTCAGAGCATACAGTGCGGTTATAAATAAAGTTCCAACTGACAGTTTCTTTCCTGTGCACCTCCTATCCCTCATCCTGGCCCTCCCCTTCCTTGCTCTCTCTTGCAACTGTGCAACTGGCAAATAAATTAGCTCACGAAGAGAGTGGAAAGGCTTTCTTTCTCAAAGCATACAGTGCGGTTATAAAGAAAGTTCCAACTGACAGTTTCTTTCCTGTGCACCTCCTATCCCTCATCCTGGCCCTCCCCTTCCTTGCTCTCTCTTGCAACTGTGCAACTGGCAAATAAATTAGCTCACAAAGAGAGAGGAAAGGCTTTCTTTCTCAGAGCATACAGTGCGGTTATAAATAAAGTTCCAACTGACAGTTTCTTTCCTTTGCACCTCCTATCCCTCATCCTGGCCCTCCCCTTCCTTGCTCTCTCTTGCAACTGTGCAACTGGCAAATAAATTAGCTCACAAAGAGAGAGGAAAGGCTTTCTTTCTCAAAGCATACAGTGCGGTTATAAATAAAGTTCCAACTGACAGTTTCTTTCCTGTGCACCTCCTATCCCTCATCCTGGCCCTCCCCTTCCTTGCTCTCTCTTGCAACTGTGCAACTGGCAAATAAATTAGCTCACAAAGAGAGAGGAAAGGCTTTCTTTCTCAGAGCATACAGTGCGGTTATAAATAAAGTTCCAACTGACAGTTTCTTTCCTGTGCACCTCCTATCCCTCATCCTGGCCCTCCCCTTCCTTGCTCTCTCTTGCAACTGTGCAACTGGCAAATAAATTAGCTCACAAAGAGAGAGGAAAGGCTTTCTTTCTCAGAGCATACAGTGCGGTTATAAATAAAGTTCCAACTGACAGTTTCTTTCCTTTGCACCTCCTATCCCTCATCCTGGCCTCTCCCCTTCCTTGCTCCCTCTTGCAACTGTGTTGAGGTCTACCTCTGTAAAACAAGATTGAGAAGTGGTGAGAACTTTGAGTCATGCACGCATGGATCACCTATGCCCTCGATGCCTCCGCAAACTAAGTACTAAGATTAGCGACTGAGCATTTCTTGAATTTCCTTTTCCAGATGGCTGCTCTTCAGAGTCCTTTCTATGGCGATAAAATGAACCTGTTTGCCCTCTGCCAAAAGATCGAGCAGTGCGATTACCCACCTCTTCCGGCCGAACATTATTCAGAAAAGGTAAGCGCCAAGGGCGGAACGTGGTCTCCTTCCATCCTCTTGTCCAAAGGCGAGCTTCATCTTGATCCCAAAACACGTATGTAAACTCCAAACCCGTGAAAACAAAACGAATCCCAGAAAAGGATTCTTGTAGGGATTTTTTTGGGCTATATGGCCATGGTCTAGAGGCATTCTCTCCTGACGTTTCGCCTGCATCTATGGCAAACATCCTCAGGCCCCTCCTCTAGACCATGCTTGCCATGGAAGGGGCCTGAGGATGCTTGCCATAGATGCAGGCGAAACGTCAGGAGAGAATGCCTCTAGACCATGCTTGCCATGGAAGGGGCCTGAGGATGCTTGCCATAGATGCAGGCGAAACGTCAGGAGAGAATGCCTCTAGACCATGCTTGCCATGGAAGGGGCCTGAGGATGCTTGCCATAGATGCAGGCAAAACGTCAGGAGAGAATGCCTCTAGACCATGCTTGCCATGGAAGGGGCCTGAGGATGCTTGCCATAGATGCAGGCGAAATGTCAGGAGAGAATGCCTCTAGACCATGCTTGCCATATAGCCCAAAAAAACCTACAACCACCCAGAATCCCAGAAAGCCGCCAGGAAGTGGTGCAACATCCCTTTCACTGTGTGGGAGCCACTGCAGAGGAAACCCTGCCATTTGGGCTTCGTGGTGGAGTGCCACCCACAAGGGAGGCCATTTTTTCACAACTTTTCTCCCATTTTTCACCAATACTCCTCCAAGAATGATGAGGTGTATTCACAAGTCAGGACTCGTTCTGCGCAAAAAATTCATGTGACTATTTTTGTACAATATGCAGCCTTTTCTGCGCAGAAAATGTTTTGGTGCAGAAATACTCTTTTCCGTACAGAAAACACTGCTCTCTATGCAGAAGAGGCCATTTTTTGTGCGACCAAAGGCGAAATTGCACAGAACGGAGTCCCAAACTGTGATGGTTATTGTTGATCCATGTCTCAACACTCAAAAAAACCACGCTTTTTGACTGGTTTGGAATATTTTTCACTTTTCCCCACCTTAACTCCTTATCAAAACGATCTGGACAGATTAGAGAGATGATTGGCCAAAACTAACAAAATGAAGTTCAACAGGGACAAATGCAAGAGACTCCACTTTGGCAGGAAAAACGAAATGCAAAGAGACAGAATGGGGGACGATGAGACCTGGCTCGAGAGCAGTACGTGTGAAAAAGATCTTCGTGGGGAGGAAGGGGAGCATGAGCCAGGAATGTGATGTGGCGGCAAAAAAAACCAATGGGATTTTGGCCTGCATCAAGAGGAGCCTAGTGTCTAGACCAGTGGTTCCCAACCTGGGGTCCCCAGATGTTTTTGGCCTACAACTCCCAGAAATCCTAACAGCTGGTAAACTGGCTGGGATTTCTGGGACTTGTAGGCCAAAAACATCTGGGGACCCCAGGTTGGGAACCACTGGTCTAGAGCTAGGGAAGTCCTGCTCCCCATGCTCTATTCCGCTTTGGTTAGACTACTTTACCTGGGATATTGTGTCCAATTCTGGGCACCACAATTGACAAGCTGGAATGCCTCCAGAGGAAGAGGGCGACTAAAATGATCAAGGGTCTGGAGAACAAGCCCTATGAGGAGTGGCTTAAGGAGCTGGGCATGTTTAGCCTGAAGAAGAGAAGGCTGAGAGGGGATATGATGAGAGCCATGTATAAATATGTGAGAGGAAGCCACAGGGAGGAGAGAGCAGATCAAGGGTATGGAGAACAAGCCCTATGAGGAGCGGCTTAAAGTGCTGGGCATGTTTAGCCTGAAGAAGAGAAGGCTGAGAGGAGACATGCTGAGAGCCATGTATAAATATGTGAGAGGAAGCCACAGGGAGGAGGAGGAGGGAGCAAGCTTGTTTTCTGCTTCCTTGGAGACTAGGACGCATTGGAGAAATGGCTTCAAACTACAAGAGAGGAGATTCCACCTGAACATAAGGAAGAACTTCCTGACTGTAAAGAGAGCTGTTCAGCAGTGGAACTCTCTGCCCCTTGTAGAGTGTGGTGGAGGCTCCTTCTTTGGAGGCTTTGAAACGGGCTGGATGGCCATCTGTCAGGGGTGCTTTGAATGCAATATTCCTGCTCCTTGGCAGAATGGGGTTGGACTGGATGATGGCCCATGAGGTCTCTTCCAGCTCTTGGATTCTATGATTCTATGATCCTATGCCCGATGCCCAGCCGTGGCCAATGCCCCAGTGGCCTCGTCAGACTGCACGCATTCTCCCTCCGTGGCAAGGCCAGGCTCGGGGTGTGTGTGCTCCGCTTGGCTCCCACTCCCCGGAATCTGCCTCCCGGCAGCCGGAATTAGTGCAGGTTGACAGATGTGTTTCCTGCCTCTCCAATTACCGTCGGTTTGCCTCCCTCTGGCAGCGCTAAAGAGTGCATGATGCGGCCTGGTGCTACCATGCAGGGAGAGAAGGGTGGCAGGTCCTCAACCAAGTCGGTTCCAGATGGTGCCTTTGCACGCGTGAGGGCGAGGCGTGCAAAACGGCACCCGGCGCTCGCAGGTCTCCATCCATGTTCCCACGCACACATTTCTGGTCCAGGGTACGGAAGGTTTGCGTAACCTTTCCATCTAGGTTGTTCCTTTTCATGGTTCCCTCCTTTCTGTGGAAATTGTCCACATGCTTGTGGATTTCAATGGCTTCTCTGTGTAGTCTGACAGAAAATGAACAAAATCTGGCTACCAGTATTAAAAAACTCCAAAATTATAACAGCAAAACAACAGAGAGGAAACAATCTGGGACATCTAATCACCTCTCCACAAAAGATTGCCCCAGGCACTGCCAGGCCATCAAATGCTAATCATAGAATCAAAGAGTTGGAAGAGACCTGGTGGGCCATCATCCAGTCCAGCCCCATTCTGCCAAGAAGCAGGAATATTGCATTCAAATCACCCCTGACAGATGGCCATCCAGCCTCTGTTTCAAAGCTTCCAAAGAAGGAGCCTCCACCACACTCCCTACGGGGCAGAGAGTTCCACTGCTGAACGGCTCTCACACTCATAGAATCCTAGAATCCTAGAGTTGGAAGAGACCTCCTGGGCCATCATTCAGTCCAACCCCATTGTGCCAAGAAGCGGGAATATTGCATTCAAATCACCCCTGACAGATGGCCATCCAGCCTCTGTTTCAAAGCCTCCAAAGGAGCCTCCACCACACTCCGGGGCAGAGAGTTCCACTGCTGAACGGCTCTCACAGTCAGGAAGTTCTTCCTCATGTTCAGGTGGAATCTCCTCTCTTGTAGTTTGAAGCCATTCTTCCACTGAGTCCTAGTCTCCAGGGAAGCAGAAAGGAAGATTGCTCCCTGTGGCTTCCTCTCACATATTTATACATGGCTATCGTATCTCCTCTCAACCTTCTCTTCTTCAGGCTAAACATGCCCAGCTCCTTAAGCCGCTCCTCATAGGGCTTGTTCTCCAGACCCTTGATCCTTTGAGTCGCCCTCCTCTGGACACATTCCAGCTTAGAGTCAATATCTCTCTTAAATTGTGGTGCCCAGAACTGGACACAATATTCCAGGTAAAGTGGTCTAACCAAAGCGGCATAGAGGGGTGGTCAGTTGAAAATCAAGGTGGTCAGTTGAAACATTCCCACCTAGCTCCAGCAGACAAGAGTCCTTTGTCCCACCCTGGTCATTATTCCACAGATATATAAACCCATTGTCCTAGTTCCAACAGACCTCACTACCTCTGAGGATGCTTGCCATAGATGCAGGCGAAACGTCAGGAGAGAATGCCTCTAGAACATGGCCATATAGCCCGGACAAACCTACAACAGCTCAGTGATTCTGGCCATGAAAGCCTTCGACAATACACTTTCCATCTAGGTTGGTCTGGGAAAAATAGACCTTTACCACGGAGTTGTATTGCCCCCAAAAGGCAGAAGACCCTTCTCATTGGGAGAGCCAGAGATGTTCACCAGGCACAACGAGAAAGGACAGAGGCTTGACGTAGTCCCTTTCCTCCACAACTCTTTTGGGTCATCCAGGGGAGAGATTGCACAAGGCAAAACACAGAAGGCCTTCTGCCACGTCAGGCAAGAGACGGGCTGCTGCCCTCCTCCATCTTCCCCTCTGGGGCGCGGAAGGGGGCCGATGGTGGGGCAGTCGGTGCTTTTAATTACCATGGAAATAATTGGCTCTGTTGCTGGGGGAGGGAGGGGGGAGCTTCGGAGGAGATCAGAGGCTCCTCGCGGCTGTTTCTCTGGGTGTTTCTCTGGGGCGTGGAAGCAGCTTCCAAGGGCCCGGCAATTAAAAACTCTGGTCTTTTCAAGTGCAAAACGGAAAGAAAGAAAGCGCAGGGAGGAGGAGGAGGAGGAGGAGGAGGGAGCAGGGGCCGGCCATAAAGGGAAGTGCAAGCCAGGGGTCACCACTGGGGCAGGGGGGCCCCAAAGGAGGTCCAGAAGTGGAGGACGTTGCTTCTGGACGAGGTTCATTCCCCCTCTCTATGGCCTCCATGACCTTTCTAATGCCGTGACCCCTAAATACAGTTCCTCACATTGTGGTGACCCCCAAATATAAAATTATTTTGTATTGTCGAAGGCTTTCATGGCCGGAATCACTGGGTTGTTGTAGGTTTTTCCGGGATATATGGCCATGGTCTAGAGGCATTCTCTCCTGACTTTTCGCCTGCATCTATGGCAAGCATCCTCAGAGGTAGTGAGTTCTGGTTGTTTGGTAGGTTTTATCTGTGGAATACCATGTCTAGAGGACATTATCTCCTGACGTTTCGCCTGCATCTATGGCAAGCATCCTCAGAGGTAGTGATCACTGGGTTGTTGTAGGTTTTTTCGGGCAATATGGCCATGGTCTAGAGGCATTCTCTCTGACGTTTCGCCTGCATCTATGGCAAGCATCCTCAGAGGTAGTGAGCTATATGGCCATGGTCTAGAGGCATTCTCTCCTGACGTTTCGCCTGCATCTATGGCAAGCATCCTCAGAGGTAGTGAGCTATATGGCCATGGTCTAGAGGCATTCTCTCCTGACATTTCGCCTGCATCTATGGCAAGCATCCTCAGAGGTAGTGAGCTATATGGCCATGGTCTAGAGGCATTCTCTCCTGACATTTCGCCTCCATCTATGGCAAGCATCCTCAGAGGTAGTGAGCTATATGGCCATGGTCTAGAGGCATTCTCTCCTGACATTTCGCCTCCATCTATGGCAAGCATCCTCAGAGGTAGTGAGCTATATGGCCATGGTCTAGAGGCATTCTCTCCTGACATTTCGCCTGCATCTATGGCAAGCATCCTCAGAGGTAGTGAGGTCTGTTGGAACTAGAAGGTTTATATATCTGTGGAATGACCAGGGTGGGACAAAGGACTCTTGTCTGCTGGAGCTAGGTGTGAATGTTTCAACTGACCACCTTGATTAGCATATAATGGCGCCATGGTCTAGAGGCATTCTCTCCTGACATTTCGCCTGCATCTATGGCAAGCATCCTCAGAGGTTGTGAGGTCTGTTGGAACTAGGAAAAGGGTTTATATATCTGTGGAATGACCAGGGTGGGACAAAGGACTCTTGTCTGCTGGAGCTGGGTGGGAATGTTTCAACCGACCACCTTGATTAGCATTTGATGGCCTGGTAGTGCCTGGGGCAATCTTTTGTTGAGAGGTGATTAGATGTCCCTGATTTTCCAGGCTATCTGCTATTTTTTAAATCTCCGAGTTACAACCATGTCAGACTACACAGAGAAGCCATTGAAATACACAAGAAACATGTGGATAATGTCAACAGAAAGGAGGAAACCATGAAAATGAGCAAAATCTGGCTGCCAGTATTAAAAAACTCAAAAATTACAACAGCACAACAACAGAGAGGAAACAAACAAGGACATCTAATCACCTCTCAACAAAAGATTGCTCTAGGTACTGTCAGGCCATTATATGCTAATCAAGGTGGTCAGTTGAAACATTCCCACCTAGCTCCAGCAGACAAGAGTCCTTTGTCCTATCCTGGTCATTCCAGATACATAGACCCATTTTCCTACTTCCAACAGACCTCACTAGGATGCTTGCCATAGATGCAGGCAAAACGTCAGGAAAAAATGCCTCTAGAACATGGCCATACAGCCCGAAAAAACCTACAACAACCCATTGCAGGGAGGCTGAGGGAGTGGGGCCAAAGGAGGTGGTGCCATGACCCTTGGAAACGGCCAGTCGACCCTTCTGGGGGTCGCGACCCCCAGGTTGAGAAGCACTGCTCTAGATGTTTGGGCTGGCCGCTTTCCTTTGCACCATCCATCCCGTGTGAGCCAAAGATCAGGAGCACACCAGGCCTGGGAAGGCGCTCTGGGCCTCTCCTGGCCCTTCTCTATCTTTGGCCAACCTGGGGGCGCAACGGTTAAACTCTCGGGCAGGACACGGCTTGAATCTGAGAAGAGTGGGTTGAGCTCCCTCTGTCAGCTCCAGCTCCCCAAGCAAGGGCATGAGAGAAGCCTCCCACAAGGATGGTATGAAGCATCAAACGTCTAGGCAACGTCCTCTAGGCAATGCCCAAATCTCTCACACCAGAAGATACTTGCAGTTTCTCAAGTTGCTGCGCCACTTGCACATGCCACCTCAACTCACTGGTTGGTTACAGCTTGGCTCTTTTACACCAAGCCATTCCCGTCACATAGATCAGGAGAATCATCACTTTGTAAGATTGAGGTGCCATGTTCTTGGGAGAGATGTCCATTCGCAATTGCAAAACTGTCGGGCCCCTTTGAAGGGGCCAATAATGATGGATGGCGAATGCAGGTCTGCCATCAACAAGGTGGAGTCCTCAAAGCCTTGCAGCATGCTCACTTGCAATGTTGCCATTAGCCTGTAGGCATTTCTGTGTGCGCGTGTGTGCAAACCAGGTGTTTTGGACTCCCAACTCCCACAATTCCTGACAGCCTCAGGCCCTTTTGTTTCCACTTGGAAACTGGACTCTTCAGTCACTCAAGGGATCGTCTGCATACCCACATTGTGGGAGTTGAAGTCCAAAACACATGGAGAGAGGGCGCAAGTTGGCCCATGCCTTTGTCCTCTTGGAACTGGACACTCCAGTCATTCAAGGGGTCATCTGCATACCCACGTTGCAGGAGTTGAAGTCCAAAACACCTGGAGGGAGGGCCCACGTTGGCCCAGGCCTGGTATAGGAGCATACTTTATTTTACCATTTTATTTTGAGGAAACAAGAGCTGCATGTTTACGTTCTCAAATAAGGCGATGGAGTCCTTGAAACCCCGCTGGCAAGGGCTGGTTGGAGAGCTGTGTTTCCTGGGCCTCTTTCCCTCTCTTGTTCTTTTTCTTCCTCACGTTTTCTCTCCCTTGTTCCTTCTTTCTCTCTCTCTCTCTGCAGCTGCGAGAGCTGGTCAGCATGTGCATATACCCGGACCCGGACCAGAGGCCCGACATTGGCTACGTGCACCAGCTGGCCAAACAGATGCACGTCTGGACCTCCAGCACTTGAGGAGCCGCCCGTCCTTTGTCCGCCTGCCCGGTGCGCTCCGACACAAGCCATCCCAGCGTAGTCTTACTTGAACCTTCTGTCTCAGACGAAACCGAGAGGTGCCTCGCCAAACGCGCGCAGGAGAGTGGAGCCTTCCTCGGAAGAGGCTCCGCGGCTTCTGCCGGCCATTTGCAGGGCGCTCCCGGCGCGGACCCACTCTCCGCCAGGGCTGCGAGGCGCCGCTGCAAGTGTGCGTTTTGCTTTTGACAAAGCCAATAACATGTTGTTACAGATGTAGATCACTTTCAAAGATCCTTTCTTAAAACTGTTTTGTGTGTAATCTAGGTTAGGCTTTCCTAGGCAAGGGTTTCTCATTTTGTGTATCGGACACACACACCCCTTGTTATCTTAACTAATGTGAACTATTGAAATAATTCCTTTGGTGAAATCACTTTATTACTAATGTAAGAATAACCATAGATTGTGTGCGTGTGTGTGCGCGCGTGCGTGTGTGTGTAATTTGTATAATAACTGCTACTTTTGCCTCTTCTGCCAATGGTTAATCGCAAGTTCAGTTTCTAAAAGATATATATTTTTTAAATCCAACTTTAGAACGACGTATTTTGCAATGCATGTTGTCAGTATGGCTGCAATCCGTCTGCGAGCGAGGGGCGTGTTGCAGGCCTCCAACCAAAGCTCTCTTTTGTCCGTTCCCGGTCCCGCGCTGGCACAGATACGACACACATCTCCGTAGCCGTTCTTACACAACCAGTGTGACTGTAAGCAGGATCCCGGGGCCGAGCGAGAGGACCTTTTGTGCAAAATCCATGGTGAAAACCCAGCCACCTTAACAGTGTTGTTGACATTTTACAAAAAGGGGATTCCATTCATCGCGGAATGCAGTCAGTCCAAGAAAACGTTCTTTCAAACTTATTTACTGTGAACACTCATTTGACAAATGTGAATAGTTTAAACAAGCCGATTTGAAGGAAACGGTAAAGACTTAGGTTTAAGTCGGCCAAATCGGTTAATTGGCTCGGCGGTCGGATCTCCATTCGCCGCCACTTTGCAAAAGCGGTGACAAGCCAAGTTTCCCTGCTGCGTTTGGAGGGACGGTGCTCAGTTGGTTTCAGTGTTTCTGAAGGATGCGAGGGGCGCGCGGCATTGCGGGGCTCCGGGTTTTCCCCTTTTCTGGAAACGCAGGGATTTCTGTGGCTCATTCACTCTGTGGCTTACTACGTGGCGTAGAAACAATCCTTGAGAGGGTTAATACCAGCGCTGAATTGCTGTGGCGGTCTCCTCCCTCCAGAAAGTCCAGCCTATTAATCTCATTCAAGTCGGTAAATTTCAGCTCTGTTGCGAATACCGCAGTCGAGTATCTTCTTCAGCTCTGTGCTCCAAAACTGTTTGGGCGGTCTCTCCTTTCTCTCAGAGGATCCAGAGAGAGCCTCCTTCAATCGACACAATTTAGTATTTGGGGTTTCTTCGGGGGCGGGATGTGCGACATTTGGTTTGTCGCTGGCTTTTGGGAAGCTTCCGGTTCCAGGTCGGCCTCTGCCCAGCCTGGCCTCTCTCGCTTGCTCTGTCAGGTCTCCTTTGCGCTTCGGGTCAAGGCATTTCCAAAGATGTTGCTTTTCCTTTTCCTTTTATTGGCAACTGTGCATTTTTAGATAAGATTTAAATGATTTACAAAATAAAAGTTTTTCTTTGTAAAAATCAAAAATGTGTGCCTTCATGTTTTTCGCGTACCTGAGGTTCTGGATCTGAGGAAAGACTGCTTGGCCTGTAAAACCGAAAAGCCGGGGCGTTGTTGGTTCATTAAATGGCAGAAGGGCAGCAGGGCCAAGACACAGAAGAATCCGGTCTCCTTTGGCATCCTGTCCGTCTTGCTTGAAAAGATGCACATGGAAGCCATTGCCTCCTAGCTGCACAAAAGCAGAGCCCCATCCGACTTGGCCCCTCAAATCCACGCAGAATGGACTGGGCTTACGTGTGGCTGTGGTCAAGCAGTGGTTCCCAACCTTTTTTTGACCAGGGACCTCTCTCCAACATTACTACCAAAAGGGTTACGAATCAGTTTTTGGGCAACTTTAGATTCGGTTTGCTTGTCTGAGGTGCTCTAGTTAATGATACAGAACACATGCCATCCATAGGTTGCCATCTGCTCACCCACAGAAAACCAGGGTCTGACCGTTTTGACCAGGGACCTTTCTCCAACATTAGTTCCAAAAGGATTACGAATCGGTTTTTGGCCAACTTTAGATTCAGTTTGGTTATCTGGGGTGCCAATTCAGAAAACAGCATTGGATAAACCTCATCAGCTCTAGTTAATTGCACTGGACAGATCACATCAGCTCTAGTATAAAACATCAATGTTGATGTTTTACATTGTTTCTTATCAATGGCGTTGAGTTGTTGCCCACACTGTGTCCCCTTTGGGGTTGAAAAGGGCGGTATACAAATACCCCAAATTAATACATAATAAATAAATAGTTTCCGGTACAGAACATATGCCATCCAGTAGTAGCCATCTGCTCAGCCACAGAGAACCATATTTAATCATCTAGAGCGGATGAGGCAGTAGTAATCTTTTGTGGGTCGTTGGCCTCTCCCCTCCCGACATCCCTGTTGCCTCGGCACTCTAAGAGGGTTTCGCAAGAGAGTCCTCCATAACACACTCGCCTTCTCTCTTGGTCCTCTTTCCCCTCAATACCTTGTTTTGGTGCTGCCTTCCATATCCTTCCTCTGTATGGCAAGATGGACTTAGCTGCTTAAGAGATGCAAAGCTAATCCTAATAACAACAGCAAAGTATGTACTTATTACCCACCTCTTCTCCCTAAGCTTAGGACAAAAGTGACACCTGTACCAATGCGACATTTTGCCTTCTCTGACTCCTAGCCAAACACAAGAAGAGACTCGAGGCATTCTCACTTGTTTGTTGGCAGCCCCCGGGCGGACGGACACAAACACACACACAGAAATCCAGCCATGAGATGAGTAAATGAGTCAGATCTTATTGGGGTTTTATTCATTCTACTACGCAGGGAATGTCAATTTCGAATCCTCACCTCCCCCGCCACAGGAGTGTACAACACAATCAGGAGATGTCCATTGTCTGCACGGTCTCGTCGCTCACTTCGAGATCGAGGAGAGTCACCTTTTCCGTCAGGACTCCTGTCGTCCCTTTCTCACACTTGTACCTCCCTTGCCTGTCGAGAGAAAGAGACCAATCAGTCAATGATTCCGCTTTGAGGAGCTCCACAACCTCAACACCACTGGTGGGCTGTTCAAACTGTGGACTGGCACACTGAACAGGACTTGGCGCAATGGAGGAGTGGGGAGAACCATGGGCCTTGCAGAGGTCGGGCTGCACGTCCCTCGCCTACAGAGCCTATGATTAGAGTTGCAATACGATAACATCGGGAATCCCATGATACCATATTGTCCTGGCCTTCCATAGACTGAAAGCCAAGGAGCAAATTCAGTGAAAGAGACTACAAGCTAGTCATGGGCCCGGTATCCGAATCATCTGTTTGATTCGCGTTTCCGTTTTGTTCCATCCATTCAGATGGCAGAAAACGGGAATGAAAATAAACTCGATACGAAAGGCAGACAAGCACAAGTACCGGCTCCCACCTGCTTTTCGGATCAATTGCAGCGCACATATAGGCCCAGAGTGCTAGAGCCTGCAGCCGAGCGCCAACTAAGGAGCGCTGCTTACTCAGTGCTCAGGTGCAGGTCCTTTCAGGCTCAGGCGCTTTGGGTTGTGGAGCAAGGCCATCGGTACCAAACACGGTAAGTCTTCAGCTCCAGCCAGGGAGCCCTTCAACTCCTCAGATGAAGGTGAGGCAAATCCCATCCAAAAGCGTATCTTGGGAAGGAAGGGGAGCCTGGGTGGGAAGGGCTCCCTGACCACTAACGGGCTGAAAGGAAACAGATCTTTCAGCACCAAAAACAAGTATCCGCCCTATTTCAGAATGCTCAGTAGAAATGGATTGGGGAGCCCATCAAAAGCCAGGTCAAGGTTGACCCCAAATGCAAACTACTAGCTAGGTCTAGGATTGTTTGCATCCGATTGAGAAGCCTTCATTTTGGGCCAGACTGCAAAGGTGAGTGCTCTCCCTCATTCAAGGCCTCAGGCGGCCATCTCTCAGGCGGCCATCTCTCGCCCACTCTCCCATGACCCTTTTGCAAGGGTGTCTTTGCAAGGAAACTCAGGGGAAACCCAAGCTGGCCTTCCCAAAAAAGAGTCGCCCACTGCCCAATACGAATTGCAAAACATTACTGCCTTTGCAATCCCACTGGGGAGAGAAGGCGGTGTCCAAGCGCAGGAATGAAACGTGCCCTGGAAAAAAGTCTCAAGGGCAGGAGGTCACTGTGTGAAATGAGGGGCTGTTTGTGCACTGGGAGAGGCATTGACCGGTAATCCTTGCAAACACGACACTGCATCCTTTCAAGAGGTAAGAGTCTCACTCATGGGGGGGGGGGGGGTCACGTTTGCACAAACAGAGCAACTTCGGATTGGGCCGACCTTTTTGAAATATCCCACAGTTCCATGTGGAATGTTTGCAAATCCATATCAAACTATCCCCACCTGGAGACCGACGGCCCCTTGACTCACCTTTCCCCCTTTTTGTTGGGAGTGTCATAAGGACGGAGGAAGTCCAGCTTGTTCTTGCTAAGGACGCAAAGGTCGATGTTGCTGCCGGAACCCAAGTCGTTGTAGATCCCGGCCGCAATGGCATCTCTCACCAGCTGCTTGGCTTCTTCTTCCTGGGAGAAAAACAACCAAGACCGTATGGGTCAGTTGCCTGGCCAGATGCACAAGGCTGGCCTCCTGAAAAAAACCTCCAAAATGAATTCTTAGATGAGAAAAAAGCAGGAGAGGATCTGTTTGGAAGGTAGGGAGATCCTTCTGCCCACACTTTGGGACTGTGCATCGCGGTTCAAATAGACAGAGGCATATTCATCCATGCTGTAATGATGGGTCTAAGGCAGGCATGGGCCAACTTGGGCCCTCCCTCCAGGTGTTTTGGACTCCAACTCCCACAACGTGGGTATGCAGATGATCCCTAGATGGACTGAAGTGTCCAGTTCCAAGAGGACAAAGGCATGGGCCAACTTGGGCCCGCCCTCCAGGCGTTTTGGACTCCAACTCCGATAACGTGGGTATGCACATGATCCCTTGATTGACTCATGTATCCAGTTCTAAGAAGACAAAGACATGGGCCAACTTGGGCCCTCCCCCCAGGTGTTCTGCATCCATCATTGATGGGGTGCAGAGAGCGCTCTGGATGCAGGTGAACTACAACTCCCATATGTCAAGGTCAATCACCCCCAACCCCAACCCCACCTGTATTAACAATTGGCCACGGTGGGTCTGTGTGCCAGTTGTGGTCCAGATTCATTGTTGGCTGGGTTCACAGTGCTTTCTGGATGCAGGTAAACTACAACTCCCAAATTCCAAGGTCAACCATCCCCAGACTCTGCCTGTATTCTAAGTTGGTTATATTGGGTCTGTCATCGATGCAATTAAGAGTGCTCTCTGGATGTAGGGTGAAATACAATCCCACCCAGGTGGGTCAATCCCTCCACAACCTTCCAGTAGATTCTGTTGGCCATGTTGGGCCTGCGTGCCAAGTTTGGTCTAGATCAGGCATGGACACCCTTTGGCCCTCCAGATGTTTTGGACTCCAACTCCCACAACGTGGGTATGCAGATGACCCCTTGATTGACATGTCCAGTTCCAAGAGGACCAAGGCATGGGCCAACTTCAACCCTCCCTCCAGATGTTTTGGACTCCAACTCCCACAACGTGGGTATGCAGATGACCCCTTGATTGACTGGAGTGTCCAGTTGCAAGAGGACAAAGGCATGGGCCAACTTGGGCCCTCCCTCCAAGTGTTTTGGACTCCAACTCCCACAACGTGGGTATGCAGATGACCCCTTCATTGACATGTCCAGTTCCAAGAGGACAAAGGCATGGGCCAACTTCAGCCCTCCCTCCAGGTGTTTTGGACTTCTGTTCCCACAATGTGGGTATGAAGATGACCCCTTGATTGACTGAAGCCGCTTAAGCGGCTGAGAGGGAAAAGGAAGGGGCCTGAGGCCAGTAATTGTGGGAATTGAAGTCCAAAACACCTGGAGGGAGGGCCGAAGTTTGCCCACGTCTAAGGGGAAGAAGCATTCAAACATGCATACATTGGGGGTCCCTACCAAAAGGCACAAACGGCCCCGGGATGTTCCCAATGTGCCTCTAAACAGGCATAAGCCCTTGCGCGGGTTGCAGAGACCACACAGAACTCATCAATTTTTCTATCAAGAGAAGAAGACGCACACGGAGCCGTCTGCAGGAGAATAACCCTAAACTCTTCTGGCCCAACTTACCTATCCGAACGCATCTCCTCCTATGAACCAACTAGAATGTTAAGATCATCTGGGGAGGCCCTGCTCTCAATCCCACCTGCGTCACAAATACGTCTGGCGGGGACAAGAGGCAGGGCCTTTTCAGTGGTGGCCCCTCGGCTATGGAACACTCTTCCTAGAGACGTTAGATCGACCCCTTCTCTTTTCGCATTCTGGAGGAAAGTTAAGATCTGGCTGTTTGAGCAGGCGTTGGAAAAGGCAGTGTAACAGATATAGGAATATGAATCGATGGGGTGACGATATTGGACCTGGATTTTAATTATGAGACGTTATGATCTATGTTTTATTGACTGTGTTATGATTATAAAACACAGACATGTGCCTTTCACCTAAAGAACAGACAAGCATCCCGAGCTCTGAGAATTACCTGGGAAGGAGGGAATCCCACGGGAGCATTGCAGCGCACCCAAATACCTGGGAGTCACTCTGGACCGTGCTCTGACCTACAAGAAGCACTGCCTGAACATCAAGCAAAAAGTGGGTGCTAGAAACAACATCATACGAAAGCTGACTGGCACAACCTGGGGATCACAACCAGACACAGTGAAGACATTTGCCCTTGCGCTATGCTATTCTGCTGCTGAGCATGCATGCCCAGTGTGGAACACATCTCACCACGCTAAAACAGTAGATGTGGCTCTGAATGAGACATGCAGCATTATCACGGGGTGTCTGCGCCCTACACCACTGGAGAAATGACACTGCTTAGTCGGTATTGCACCACCTGACATCCGCTGGGATGGAGCAGCCAATAGTGAAAGGACCAAGGCAGAGACATCTCCAGGCTCATCCCCTGTTTGGGTATCAGCCAGCACGTCAACGATTTAAATCAAGACATAGTTTTCTTAGATCTACAGAGACACTCGCTGGAACACCCCAGCAAGCGAGAGTCCAAAAGTGGCAGGCCCAAACCCAGCACCTCAATCCATGGGTGATATCAGATGAGAGACTCCCCCCTGGGCACTCAGAGGACTGGGGGACTTGGAAGGCGCTGAACAGACTGCGCTCTGGCACCACGAGATGCAGAGCCAACCTTAGGAAATGGGGCCACAAAGTGGAATCCTTGACATGTGAGTGCGGAGAGGAGCCAACCACTGACCACCTGCTGCAATGCACCCTGAGCCCTTCTTCCACATGATGCACCAGGGAGGACCTTCTTGCGGCAACACCAGAGGCACCCCAAGGGGCCAGAGACTGGTCAAAGGACATTTAACCAAATACCAAATTTGCAAAATCTGTGTGTTTTCCTTTTTTTTTCCTTTTTAATCTGTGTGTTTGTTTTGCTCTGTTAGAATTGTAATACAATGGTATGGTTGCTGATGACACGATAAATAAATAAATTTATATAATGCTTTTAAAAGTTTAAAATGTTTTATGATGTGTTTGAGCATTGAATTTTGCTTCTGTAAACCGCCTTGAGTCACCCGAGGGCTGAGAAAGGTGGTATATAACTATAGTAAACAAATCAAATCAAATAAATAAATAATATAATCAGCCAAACCGGTAGAAATCTCCTGAAAAGGGAGGCAAAACCCTTTTAGAAATGGGCAACTAATCTGTGCAGGTAGGCAGAGTTCATCCTACAAAAGCGTAACGGTAGCAAAAGAGCAAAGCTCAAGCCCCTCGAGTTGGTTATTTTTCCAGCAGACGAGAGATGCCGAAACACGGGAGACGACGGGAAACAATTCCCGTAACGCTGGCACCCTCTACAGCCCGCGGAGGGAAGAAGACTCCCTGCAAGGCGGTCCCGAGAGAGAGAGAGGAAAACAGAAAGCCACTGCTCCCTTTCCCACCAAATTGGAGTTTGGACACAAGGGAAGAAGACCGGGTTGTGCTTGCAGCATTCCAAATCTGAGCTCGGATCCGAAGGCCATTCCTTCGTTGCAAAGCTGAACTGCACCCCCCTGTTTGCCTCCGTTCGGGTCCCACCCACACATCAACCCATCCCTTAGAGCAGTGGTTCTCAACCTGGGGGTTGGGACCCCTGAGGGGGTCGCGAGGGGGTGTCAGAGGGGTCGCCAAAGACCATCAGAAAACACAGTATTTTCTGTGGGTCATGGGGATTCCATGTGGGAAGTTTGAGCCCATTCTATCATTGGTGGAGTTCAGAATGTTCTTTGATTGTAATGAACTATAAATCCCAGCAACTACAACTCCCAAAAGTCAAGGTCTATTTCCCCCAGGCTCCACCAGTGTTCACATTTGCACATATTGAGTATTTGTGCCAAGTTTGGTCCAGATCCATCATTGCATGAGTCCACAGTGCTCTCTGGATATAGGTGAACTACAACTCCCAAACTCAAGGTCAATGCCCATCAAACCCTTCCAGGGTTTTCCATTGGTCATGGGAGCCAAGTTTGGTTCAAATCCATCGCTGGTGGAGTTCAGAGTGCTCTTTGATTATAAGTGAACTATAAATCCCAGCAACTACAACTCCCAAATTACAAAATCAGTCCTCCCCCAACCCCACTAGCACTCACATTTGGGTGTATTGGGTATTTGTGCCCAGTTTGGTCCAGATCCACCATTGCATGAGTCCACAGTGCTCTCTGGATATAGGTGAACTACAACTCCCAAACTCAAGGTCAATGCCCATCAAACCCTTCCAGTGTTTTCCATTGGTCATGGGAGCCAAGTTTGGTTCAAATCCATCGCTGGTGGAGTTCAGAATGCTCAAGAAAAGGTTGCTCCAGGCACTGTCAGGCCATCCAATGCTAATCAAGGTGGTCAGTTGAAACATTCACACCTAGCTCCAGCAGACAAGAGTCCTTTGTCCCACCCTGGTCATTCCACAGATATATAAACCCTTTCCTAGTTCCAACAGACCTCACTACCTCTGAGGATGCTTGCCATAGATGCAGGCGAAACGTCAGGAGAGAATGCCTCCAGAACATGGCCCTATAGCCCGAAAAAACCTACAACAACCCAAAGAAGAAACAATCAGGGATGTCTAATCACCTCTCAACAAAAGTTTGCCCCAGGCACTGTCAGGGCATTATATGCTAATCCAGGTGGTCAGTTGAAACATTCCCACCTAGCTCCAGCAGACAAGAGTCCTTTGTCCCACCCTGGTCATTCCACAGATATATAAACCCATTTTCCTAATTCCAACAGACCTCACTCCCTCTGAGGATGCTTGCCATAGATGCAGGCGAAACGTCAGGAGAAAATGCCTCTAGAACATGGCCATATAGCCTGAAAAAACCTACAACAACCCAAAGAGGAAACAATCAGGGATGTCTAATCACCTCTCAACAAAAGGTTGCCCCAGGCACTGCCAGGCCATCAAATGCTCATCAAGGTGGTCAGTTGAAACATTCACCCGGCTCCAACAGACAAGAGTCCTT